ATTTTTCATCTATGTATTATTGTCTTAAAACAGGTCAAAAGACATCACTCACTCAAGAAACTGAACTTCTGGAATCCCTGCTTCAGGAAGTAGAACATCAGGTGATTATGAAAAGAGCTGAAATACTGTTACACAGATCCCTCCTCAGTTGGCCTTTTCTATTTTATTTATTTTTAAACTATTAATTGGTGGATATTTCTTGCAGGTATCTTTTCATTTAAGTGGCCTTAGGTTGCACAATTTCTTCTTAAAAATGTGTATGCCTTCTAGAAATAATGAAAGATGTTCTGTTGCTTGAAAAACTAGTACAGGGATTAGTAGTAATATCATATAAAACTACACAGTTGTGTGTTTAAGGTAGCATTTAGATGGTGTGGGTAGATTCTGTTAGTTCTGCTGCTGCCAACTGCATATGAGTGGCTATAAATGGAGAATAAACAAAAATGTTCTGTTTCTCTTTGTGCTTTTGAGGAAAACTGAACTGGTTCTAGTTCTTTTTATTCCTGTCCACCTGTCTTTCCAAGAAGATGACGTGGTATCACTTTTTTCATCTTGCTTCTAGCTATTTAAGTTCAGCTTTTGAAAATGAAATACTCAAGTTCCGCAGAGCTTGATTGTACTTGCCCTGAACAATTCCTGCTTGCTCTGAAGAAATGGAAGGGTTTTCTTCCTTCGAGCATTACTGCATCCAGTAATTTTCTCTCAGAATTTGGCATTTTGGGATGGGGATGAGGGCTAAGCCTCTTTGAGCATTGCCCCTTGTCCTGTATTCCTTTTTCATTCCCTGTACTGCTTCTGCCTCAGTAAGAATGCTAAGCTGGCTTTATCACCTGATCAGCGATTATCATGTTCTTCTTGCACTTAAGTCAATTATTTCATACCTATGATAGAATGTCTTTGTTGAAGAATTGAGGACATCAGGAGGATGAGTGCCCCTGCATACCATGCATCAGAATTCTTTCTGTTTGCCAAGAGCTCTCTGTGTATAGATCGTTCAGAAATGACTTCTGCTGCAGCCCAGATGAGAACCTTCTAAATCCTGAATAGCAACACACATGCAGCTCTGCAGATCAGCTTCTCAATTGCAGAAAAAAACCATGAAAATAATAAATCGGTGCTAGTGGAACAGGACAACTTCTCCCTCTAAAACAGGAGGAAAAGCTTACTAACTAAAAAAGAAAAAAAAGGGAAGATGTGGACATATGGCAACTGCATAGGTCTCTACTGCTTATTTAAAGTCAGTATGTATGTCTTTGTCAAGAGAGGCTTTTAATGTATTATTTTTATGGAAGTAACAGAAGTAATTGAAGATAGAAAAAATGTGACTTTAAAAAAATGTGCATATTAGTCTCACGTAATCATCTCAAAGTTTGAAATTAGGTCTAAGATATGTTTTTCCAGTGTTTAAATAAGAAGCCGTATTTATAAATAAATTTTTATAAAATAAACATATGTCTCTGTTAGTAAAGACTTTTAGAATATACAATATGAGCTATTCAAGGAACATACCAGGTTAGGATTTATTATTTTCTTTCAGCTTTTGAAAATACCTTTGTTATTCTGGAATGAAGTGGGTGTTCTGGCCTCCTGTTTAAGATAATGTAGACTTTGTGCTGTTCACATTTGGATTAAAAAAAAAACCTAAACAAACCAGTGCTTGGCAGTACAGTGGTAAAGGACTAACTAAAATGTAAAGGAACTGTCTAATCTCACAGGAGCTTGTATTGCTGTGTTGTGATGTATTAAGCAAATTATCCTAATGTCTAATTAAGCATCCTTTCCGGATTGATTTACATTGTTATTCTTGCCTAAACAGTAATAGATGTGACTTGGTATTAATCAGACAGTTTTTATATAAATTAGTTTAACCCAAGTGAACTGTGTAGTAGTTGCTGTAACTTTCACTGTGGAATTGGACAGAGTCTTAAATATTGAGGACTTCCCAAATGGGTTGTGCAGGCTTTGGAGTGAGGCAGAATTAGAATACCTACTTTAATTTCTAAGCAGAAATTTTAGAACGCATGACTGTTGGCTATCATAAGCAATTTTGTAGTTTTAGCTGCTGACAGTTTCAAGGGAAATAAAACCCAAACAAATAAAAAAAAAAACCAACCCAAACCAACACACCACCAAGCTTCATTTTACTTTGCCTTGTGGGTAATCTTTCTGAAGCTGTGATAGACATGCAATTTATTTTGTTTAAAAACAAAAGCAGTCAAAGCCTGTGGTTTCTACTAACAACATAAGGAATTTTTTTTTCCTCCTTTTTTTCCCCGTATAGTTACGATCGTGCAGTAAGAGTGAGTTAATATCCAAAAGTTCAGAGATCCTGATGATGTTCCAGCAGGTTCATCGGAAGCCCATGGCCTCCTTTGTCACTACTCCTGTCCCCCCAGACTTCACAAGGTAAGCACTGCATTTCCTTTTTGCTGTAGTTTGAACTTGGAAGCCATCTCAGTGAGGGGGAGTCATACTTCAGCTATCGGAGCAGTGGTGATCTGTGGGGTAACACAATTTGTTCTGTTTCTGTGTTAAACCTGGTACCTTGGGCTGAATTTGGGTCCAGGCTTATACACTGAAAATGATAAACTGCTTAACTTACTCCTCTTAGTAACCTATACCGCAAGTAGGCTTTGCTGTTCCAGCAGGGCTTATTTTCTGTCCCTGCTGGGGAGTCAGGACAGTGGGTTCCAGCTGATAATTTTTTTTTTTTTTCTCTTTTACACTCAGTTTACTGATTTGTCCTTTTTCTCTTATTATTGGGTCATTCAGTATATAATTGCAAGCTCTCCTGAGATACCTCTGCAGGTCACCTTAATTCAGAATATACAGCCAAAATCACTTCGTAGCACAATTCCTCCTAAAGAGAGTGCTGCTAGTGCTGAGGAAGTCTGTTGAGAGTTTAGGCTAGCTGACTGAAAAGTGTCTCCAAAAAACTGAAAGTAGGAGAAATCCTAAAAGAATTGCTCAAATAATTCTGTGGTCTCTAGCAAAAATCAGTTTGGCTGGCTTTTAAATGCAATCTCAAAACTATTTTCCTGACATGTTTTCTGAAAAGAATAATTAAATGCTTCTCTGAGGAAAGTTTAAGTCTGAATGTTCATTTTCCTATGGCAGTAAGGCATCTCCTGCTCCGAAACACAAACCATTTAAGCTTTGTGCTTTCTGCCATGCAATAGTTTTGTCCTTTCTAGAACTATCAAGGAGTCTTACATTAAAAATTCAGCATGTTAAGAGATTATTAGCAATCACAGGTAAAAGGGCAAATCCTCTTCAATACTCTTGGTTGCTTTTCCCTTCACAACATAAAATACTTGTTTTATTGTGTGATATCACAGGGAGAGGTTCTGGGGAGAAGGCTTATAAATGGAATTTTCAGAACTACTGAAAAAAACCCAGTGTAGTCCTAGTGAATTTTAGTGGCTCTGGTGACCTAAACCATCTTAAATGCTTCTGAAGATTCCAAAAGTTGGGATTTTTAATGTCGTGTTACTCAACTCTTAATTCTTTCCCCCCTGCTCAGTGAATTGGTTCCAGCCTATGACTCGACTACATTTGTCCTGGAAAACTTCAGGTAAGAATGTGTCTTATGTTACAGTGAATATTGGGAAGCTTTTTGTGTGTGTTCTGTACATCAGTATTCTTTAAATCACAGAACAGTCTCTAGAGAAGACTGTTAGATATGAACTATAGGGATTCAATAAAAAGTGAGTAATTAACCCTTGCTAAACCGTTAGCTAAAAAGATTTTTCCATTATAAAGGCAAGCTGCTTATTTTTCTTTTTTTTGTAAAAATACTGGATAATTTTGCAAGGAGTACATATATTTGTATGAACACTTAACATTTTGCCTGGGCCTCATGCTGCTGCACGCTCTGTGCAGCAAGAAGGATGGATCTAGAGTGTGAGTGCAAGTGTGTGTGCAGCTCGTTGTTTCATGAAGGGTTTTGCTTTGTCCCAGTAGCAAATGTGGTTGGTTTTTTTTTCTTCTTTCTTGATAGTACGTTGCGTCAGCGAGCAGATCCTGTTTACAGTCCACCTCTTCAAGTGTCAGGACTCTGCTGGAGACTAAAAGTTTATCCAGTGAGTTATATTTTCAACTAGAGTCATTATCCCATCCAAAACACTTCTCTTGTAAGGAGACAGCAGTTAGTCTCTTCTCATCTTGTATATAAAAAGCTGAACATTCTCAATATAGTTAATCAGGTTCATTTAAAAGCAATTAAGAATAGGTCTTGCCAATACGCTATAGGAAATCTCATAGATTTATATTTTTTTAATCTCTTTGAGTGGTTTTTGCAAATGTTTCTTGCAGAACTGAGGTGTAGGATAACTCACCTTATTTATGTTATAAATAATACTTATTTGGGAAGTTGGGAGGAGGACAGGGTATTAGTTGAAGGCTAATCTGTTTTGCTGTGCATCCGGTTCTCAGATCCTGACATTAAAACGTGTGTGTTTTACTGATGTCCTGTCAGTGGGCTGAATATTCAGATTTCTGAAGCAAGATCTTTGGGGTGTTGACCTACAGAGTGTGATCTCTGTACAGTTCACTAACTCAGGCCAGTGTTTCCAGGAATCTCTGGCTGCTACCGCAGCTGCGTTTGGAGAAATACGCTAGACCACGAATTTTGTTCCTTGGTGATTTACCTGACATCTTCAGAGAACTGGATTAATCCGTTAAGCCCATGTATGCCCAGAATTGTATTCTTGCAAGGCAGAGGTGGGCCCCTGTGTAAGTTTTCAGAGAGCTATAAATTCAGGATTGACTACATAAGGTGTGCTGTGGGAAGGCATTAAAACTTATTTTTTAAATGGTAAGTTGGAATGTTTCTTCAACCTAGAGGATTCAAGTCGAGCCATTCTTCATCCTTGATTAAGGTGAGTGTGATGGAGGTTTTGCCATATTTTGTCTTGATTTCTGGTGATTCTAATATAGTTTCTCAAGTTCACTGACCTAATTCTTTTCATGTTGCATGTTTTTTCTAAAGAAATTGCTCTTCTTTCAAAAGTAGCTTTGAGATGCAGCTGTATGTAAAATATTTCAGAACTAATGTTTTAACCTGAGCTGGTTTGTTTCACTTTGAGAATTTGAGAATTGGACTGTAATAAACTGCTAAATAGATTTTGAGCTTTTTCACTGCTTTTTCTATGTGGTAAGTAAATGTATTTCCTATGCATTGACAAGCATTTGTCTATTCAGTCTTCCACTTAATTGAACCCCTAAAATGCTCATAATTTAAGCTCTGTTTAGAGATTTATGTCTGAGATACCAATACTAGACTACATATGTGCTTCCAGATGCAAACCCCATGTTGATTCAAGTTACAGTAGGAGTTCTAGGTCACAGGAAAATAAAAATCAGAATTGTAGCATATGAAGTAGACTACTGCTGCAATTTCTGTATTGATTGAAGCTGTTTTCTAAACTTCAAGGGTGTATCAGGGTGGTTTTTTTTTTCTGTTTTTTTGTTCTTTTTAATCAATTTATCTCTTTTATCTGTTTCAAGGATGGAAATGGAGTAGTACGGGGTTACTACCTGTCTGTGTTCTTGGAGCTGTCCGCTGGATTGCCAGAGACATCCAAGTAAGCAAACCTGTAGTAAGAGCAGCCATTTTTTTTTTTTTTTTTTTTTTTCCTCTTGGTGGAACATCTGGAGAGGTTTGTAAAGAATGACCTCAGGTTCTGTGGCATTGCTAGGGACTGGTGCACTCTTGGAAAGAATAGTGAGACTTCTGTTGTCCACTGAGCTTTGAATCCTGCCCAAAGATAATATTTTAAAGTTGTTACTCAGTGGCTTGCTTGAGATAAAAAGCAAGCTGGCCAAAAAAAACGATTAAAATCTCCTAGTATTCAGTCCTAGACTTGGTTTATCACTCTACTCCCTATTATTACTTTCTTCCCCCGTATACTGCTTGTGTACGTGTTTGGTAAAATTTTAAGACTGACTCACCTCTTCAGTTGGGCATGCTCCCAGGAAGCACGGTTCTGTTAAATTTGATGCTTCAGCGATTCTGACATCTTGATTTTTGTATTAACACCTGTGATCTTCCCCTCTTTAGGTATGAGTACCGTGTAGAAATGGTTCACCAGTCCACCAACGATCCCACCAAAAACATAATTCGAGAGTTTGCCTCTGATTTTGAAGTTGGAGAATGCTGGGGTTACAACAGATTCTTTCGTTTAGACTTGCTAGCCAACGAAGGCTATTTAAACAGGCAAAATGACACTGTGATCCTAAGGTAAGGAAGACAACTTAGTGGGGCTCTTCTCTGCTGTCGTTTCACAAAATGTCACACCTACTACTGCAATAGGAAATAATTAAGTAGCTGAATTTAAAATAATGGTGACATGTTTTGTCGTAAATGGATTTCACTGTCATAAGCTTTAAAGAAGAAAATGCTGAAGGGAGTTGTGGAAACTTCAAGTCTATCTCTTTCTTTGAGAAGAAGCTACACTTGATAGTAATAATCCTGGTTTAGAGATCTGTAGTGAACTGAACTAAAAGAAAAGGGTGTTTTCTCTCCCTCTTTAAGAATAGTTGTAAGCATAGGAGAACTTTGGGAATAAAGGAAGCCTTTAGTTTAAGAACTAATGCTGTCAATGGGAATTGCAATGTTATGACAAAATATAGAAGCTTTATCCATCTGCTTCAAATATTCTCTGTCCAGCCCTACCCTTGCTCCAGTTAAATGCTTTGTGGTGTGTGTTAGCGTTGGTTTGCGAAGATAATCACCTCTCATGTAACTGCTTCTCCTACAAAATACTTGCTGTTGCTATTCAGGGCATCCAGGATACTGAGGGTGGAAGTACATGTCATCTGTTAAATGTATTTCATGACTAGATTTCGGGTTGTACAATGTTTTTATGCAGTGCTTTCTTGGATTTGGGGTGGGAGGTGGAGAAATGAAAACCAAACTCGCTTCCTTCCAAAAAAATCCTTTCAAATGTTTCCTTGAAGGTTCCAAGTGCGCTCACCAACCTTCTTCCAGAAGTGCCGAGATCAACACTGGTACATTGCTCAGTTGGAAGCAGCTCAGACAAGTTATATCCAACAAATAAATAACCTTAAAGAAGTAAGTGGGATGTATATTAATGTCAAATCCCCTTTTATGGCCAGTAATTACCTGTTTTAGGTTACAGCGTTCGTGTTTGACAATTGTTGGGTTGTATTGGTAGTTTGATACTGGTGTTTTATTAAAATAGCACGTATGCAACTCAACAAACTTACTTGCTGTCTTCTATATGTGCTTTTGTGTATCCTTCTCATATTTAAGAGGCTTGCCATTGAACTTTCCCGGACTCAGAAATCACGAGGCATTTCACCTCCAGACACTCATCTTAGTCCCCAGAATGATGATGGTTCAGAAACAAGATCAAAGAAATCTGGACAAAGCACTGAGGTGCTGCTTGAGAATGTTGCTGCTCCAGGATTGGTGCGAGATAGCAAGGAAGAGGAGGAAGAGAAGATCCAGCATGAAGACTTTAACGTGGGAATTTTTTTTTTCCTATGTTTATGTGTAGTTTTTTGTGATAGGATAGCAGTAGAGACATAAGTGAACTTCTGAATTGTAAATTAGATTTATTATCCTCTGCATGGAAATAGTAGACTTCCGGAGGGCAAACTCTGACCTGTTCAAAAGACTGTTTGACAAAACCCCTGGGGAGGCTGCCCTGAAGGATATGGGAGTCCAGGAAGGCTGGACATACTTCAAGAGAAGTCTTAAAGGCACAGGAGCAGGCTGTTCCCACATGCTGAAAAAGCAGCAGGCAGGGAAGGAGACTGGCCTGGATAAACAGGGACCTTTGGCTGGAGCTCAGGAACAAAAGGAGAATCTGTTGCCTTTGGAAGAGGGGGCAGGTCTCTCATGAAGACTATAAAGTTGTAGTGAAGTTATGCAGGGAGAATGTTAGGAGAGCCAAAGTGCAGCTAGAGCTCAACTTGGCCACAGCTGTTAAAGATAATAAAAAATGTTTCTATTAATTCATTAACAACAAAAGGAGGGTTGAGGGAAAATCTCCCTCCTTTAGTGGATGCAGAGGGAAACCTGGTAACTAAGGATGAGGAAAAGGCTGAGGTGCTCAATGCCTTCTTTGCCTCAGTCCTTAGCAGTGGGACTGGCTGTTCCCTGGACACCCAGCCAAAAAAGCCAACAGCATCCTGGCTTGTATTGGGAATAGCGTGACCAGCAGGAGCAGGGAGGTGACAGTCCCCCAGTGCTCTGCTCTGGTGAGGCCACACCTGGAGGGTTGTGTCCAGGTTTGGGCACCTCAATCCCAGAGAGGGCTGGAGCGAGGGCAGAGGAGGGCAACGAGGCTGGTGAGGGGCTGGAGAATAAATCCTGTGAGGAGCCAGGGAAGGAGCTGGGAGTGTTCAGGGTGAGGAGGAGGAGGCTGAGGGGAGCCCTCATCCCTCTCTGCAGCTCCTGAGAGGACATTGCAGAGAGGCTGGGGCTGGGCTCTGCTCCCAGGGAATTGGTGACAGAACAAGAGGGAACGGCTGGAAACTGCCACAGGGGAGGGTCAGACTGGACATGAGGAAAAAATTTTTCACAGAAAGAGTGGTCAGAGAGTGGAATAGGCTGCCCAGGGAGGGGGGAGTCCCCATCCCTGGGTGTGTTTAAGGGTCGTTTAGATGAGATGTTGGACGATGTGGTGTAGGGGAGAACTTTGTATGAGGGTTGGACTCGATTCTCCTAAGGGTCTTTTCCAACCTGAATGATTCTGTGATTCTGATTCTGTGATATGACACACTCAAGAGAGATGATGCTAAAGAGATGTTCCAGAAGAGAGCTAATAGATTCCACCACAAAAATATTTCCAAGTTGCAGCTGAAAAATCCAACTTCTCTGTTTGTTACCAACCTTTATTGTGCTTTGAGACCCTCCGAACTCCCGTGTGATAGTGTGACACTCTGGGGGGAGAGAGTTTCTGTTCATAGCTTTTGGTGAATGCATCAAAGTGCAACTGAAATGTTTCCTTTTATAAAAAGGCTTGTTCTGTTTTTCCTGTAGCATGAGCTCTCTGATGGTGACTTAGATATAGACCTTGCTGGAGAAGATGAAGTGAACCACCTCGATGGTAGCAGCTCTTCAGCTAGTTCAACAGCAACTAGTAACACTGAAGAAAATGATATTGATGAAGAAACTATGTGAGTAACTTCAAATGCTTTTCAGATCATCCCCTTGCTTCCCAGGGCAGTCACCCTAATGCCAACGGAAACAGATTAATTTGCTCTATGGCAGTCACGGTGTGTGGGGGATTCCAGGACAATGTGAGAGGTGTTTCCTGTACTGGAAACAACACGAACTGATGTAGTTAACACTAAACACTGAATTTTTGGTCAGCTAGATCTTGCTGATCTCTTAGTTTTATTTTAGTGTTGTATTCAGTCTTTGACAAGTGATAGTCTGTGAAGATTCTTTCCCAAAACACTATTAAGAAATCTGTTTCTACACTGTAACAGAAGAGAGGTTTGGTATTAGGAAGTGTTGTAGTAGTAGGAGAGTGATAATAAGGACAGTTACCTAAACTGGAGAATTTGAGGTTCTTAGCTGAGACGATGTCAAATCCTAGAATCTTTATTAAAACATGAGAATGTGTTGTAACACGTACAGATATAGAAGTATGCAGGATCAGATTTTAGAGTCGAGATACGTATGGCACTTCTGGACTCCTGGTGAGTGAGTCAGTCATTTAATTAACACACTTGGATTTGTTCAATTTGTGTAGCTTGGAATGCAGAAAATACTATTTATGTCCCTCAAGGTATGTGCTGTAACGTTTAACAAGAGCTGAAAACCACTAATAATTCTATTTTCCTTTTTCCACCCCAATCATCTCCTAAGGTCTGGAGAGAATGACGTGGAATACAGCAGTAATATGGAGTTGGAAGAAGGAGATCTCATGGAGGATGCAGCAGCTGCTGCTACTCCTGGAACATCAGGTATGAAAACCAGCCTCCCAAAATCCCATCTATGCGAAACGCTGCGGGATTCCTTCCCCTGTTCTCCTTGGAAGCGACGCCAAGCTGCGTGTTCTGCAGGCATTTCTATTTTTGGAAGTGCTGCATCATGTGGTTTGTACTGATTATTGCAGTGTAGCAGAAACATTTCATTGGCTCAGTTAAAAAAAAAAAAAAAAAAAAAAGTGGGTGTGGATCTTCTGAATGTGTTTGTTTAAAAATGATGCTTAAGTTTGGAGGAAGGCTTTCCTGCCTCTTTGAAACCCTTTCCATTCTGATCAAAAGTAGCCTGACAAGCAATTTTTAGTGATGCCAGTGTGGCCTCTGAGTGTGTGACACGTCCACTTAGGTTTTAGCGTGCTGTAGAACCTGAAGTACGTGGAGGGAGTGAAGTAAAGGATCCTTATAAGTCAAGCAGATAGACATTTTAAATGCAATAATGAAAAGGCACTCTTAAGGTTTTTGCAGCCTAGAGATGGCCCAAATTAGCTGTAAGTTAATAAGATTCTGAGAGAAATCTATGTGTGTGTAATATATTTATTTATGGCAGAAACACCAGAAGTGGCATTCACTGGAAGAGGTATTTATGCTGCTGTGGAAGTCTGCTAGTGCTTGAAAGACACAATTCCTCAACCATCCTGCTTTCAGCTGCTGTTTCAAAACTACTTTTAATTTCTTGTGAGCTAGGAACTTGAGGGACACGTGTGTTTCCTTCTGCAGGGGCAGCCTGTAGAGTAGGAGCACAGTGGTTGTGGAAACATCATTTATTTAGAAGCTTTTAGGAAGTAATTTTTAACAGCATCTGTAAACGCTGACACAGTCTCTCGAGCTTCTTGCGTTTACCCGTCTGCACTGTGTTCCACTCTGAATGTTAGCAGTGTCACCTGGGTTCTACTAAACTGTACAGTTTTAGTCTTGCAGATCTAACTCTTTCCTCTGAAGATACTCTTCATCTTCTGAGTGCCTTGGCCATTCTGTAATGGGAACATCGTAACGCAGAGCAGAACTTAACTGAAGTTCCCCCCGACACCCTTAATCTAATCAGGAGGGTGGGACACCTGGAAAGTTCATGTGCATGTCTCTGGAATAAATGCTCTTTTGTATTGATTTGTTTACCAGTTTGTTAAGAGATTTATGTAAAAGGTGTGAAGTGAAATACTCTTTAAATTTTTTTTTAAATTATTTTTCCTCTGCTGCTTTTTGGTTTAAACATTTAGTTAGGAGCATTTCTGGTTGCTTTCACAATCCAGAAATCCATGAAATAATACTGATGTCTTTAAGTTTATTGGAATGTTTTCATTCCTACTCTGCTTGTTGAACTCTTTTTATTTTTACAGGAAATAATGCCTCACCTGTTTCCTGCACACATGCTCTTTCTCTGTAACTCTTCCTTAGGTACAAGCCATGGCTACACCAGTGCAAGTGGAAGATCTTCAAGGCGGGGAGGAAGTGCCCTGGGCTCAGCAGCCAGTAGCAGTTTACTAGATATAGATCCCTTAATTTTAATCCACTTGTTGGATCTAAAAGACAGAAATGGGATGGAAAACCTTTGGGGCCTTCAGCCACGTCCACCCACCTCTCTTCTGCAGAACAGAGGTAACTGTACATCACGCATCAGATGATTTAATTCCAACCTGGGAATGTCTCATAGTGTCGTCCCCAGAGTTAGAAGCAGATTTGAGGGGAGGGGGGAAAAAACAGATGATGGCTGCGCTTCCATATCCTCATCTGCTCGTCAGTACACTGCTCCAACACGTCCTTTGTCCTGGTGGTTGACCTCAGCTTGAGAACCCCGGATGACTCAATGGAAAAGAGAAGTGTATCAAGGAGGGTCTTCTCATCTTCCCTGGGGGGTGGACAGGGTGTCTGCTTTGCGTAGCAGCGTTGTAGAGCTGCAGTTCATGCGGTTTCTCTGCCTGCCACTGTGGGGGATGAATGAGAGGCCCTTTTCCAGAAGGGGTTGGCACTGAAGGACAAACCAACCCAACCCAGCTCTCTGCTGAGGAAGCAGTTACACCTCTCACTTCACGCAGTTGGTTCTCTTAGCGGCTGAGAGTACAAGCAGCCCACTGTGTACGGACAAGAAAATAAATCCTGGAATTTACTTTTGTATGAAAAAGGCATTAGAACAGGACTACAAAAATGTCTGTAGTAGTAAGGCTGGAAAAGCACATGGAAGCACTTGTGGGAGAGGAATGGATCAAAATGGCAGGAGCCAACAGTGATAGTATTTAAATAATTGAGGACTTTGAAGAGTATTTGTGGATCAGTTAGGACCCTTCAGCCAAAAAACACAATTACCTTCATGTGCAGCAAAAGCAAGATAACTGGTGGTTCTGGCACCCGTGGCTATTGCTGAAGGTTGTTCCTTGTTTCTCTTGTTTTGTTAGTGAGTAATTAAATCAAACCTCAATAATACATTTATCGTGATTATCACTTCGTTGGAACTAGCTGACCCAGTGCTGCAACATCTGATTTTGGGTCATTCTGAAACAACCATTTGGTGACTTAATAGAACAGAAGAGAAATGACGGTCCTTTTGCTACCAATAAATGTCTTGTTTAGCTGCAACAATGACATTGGTGTTAATGAATCTAAAAGCTAGCTCAAACTATTTGTTCCTTTGTGATTAGCATTTTAAATGTAGTCACATGAACGGTCAGATGAATTTTCAGCTGAGTGTAATCCATATTTCCAAAAATGGAAACCACTTCCCTGAGTCCACACAGAGGAGGCAGCACACGAGCTGTAAGGCTCAGCTCTGTTTTGCTTTGGGAAAGGTCTGGACAAAAGGACCTTCAGAGAGGGCGTTGCACTTTGTGCTGTACTACTGGGGCAAGATCAGGCTTTTCCTGGTGTGTTGAATGATGTCCTGGTCATCTTCACTGGCCACACAGCTGAAATCAACTGTTTTGCTGAGGTTCCCTCAAGGTTTGACTGTTCCCAGAGCTTATTCAAGTCAGTCAACTAAAAGAGAGCTGCTGTTGGGTTTGGAATTTGACAGACCTCCTAAGGTGCAGGTTTCCAAGAGCTGCTTGGCTTTATGGTTTTGGAAAGCTGAATTTGCAGTGAAACACTTACAGAATTTATAATGCTTCACATAGGTGTCAAAGTTGACCTCACTCTGGCTGAGCAGCACGGAGGCTTACTCTGGTATTACCTTCTCAACCTGGTCTTCTGGTCTTAAGTACTTCAGGGAATTCCTCCCCTGGTTTCAGATTTGAGCTCTGTATGTTAACGTATGTTGGTAGTATGAGAATCTTACACACACACTCTCAACAAATTTTATAAAAACATGTAACAAATGCCACATAAATGTCAAATTGTGAACTCAGGCTTGTCTGACAATATAAATTAGTAGCTCAGTTCTCATCAGGACTCTGGAGAGCCTTGATTCTTCCAGTCAGCAGGTTTTGGGGCCTTCTTCCATGGCAGGCAGGAAGGGAAAATTTGTTGTCCCAGTAGCTGTGCAGTGCTTGCAACCTAAATATTACGGTGCCATACCAGTGCAGAAGAATGCCTCCCTGGTCCTCGTTTTTATAACAGGGCAAAAGGTAGAATTCTTACAGCTGTTAAAAACAGATGTCTCTCTTTATTTGAGAAGAGTTTTACTTACCTGTTTTGTTCTTTTTAACTTTTTTCCCTTTGGTAAAGCCTCGTCCTATTCCCTGAAAGATCGAGATCAGCGGAGACACCAGGCAATGTGGCGCGTGCCACCGGACTTGAAGATGCTGAAAAGACTTAAAACTCAGATGGCTGAAGTTCGAAGCAAAATGTCTGATGTCAAAAACCAGCTGTCAGAAGTGAGAAGCAGCAATGCTGGCTCATGTGATGGGCAGCCCAGCTTCTTCTCCATTGAGCAAGGTGCTTTAGCTGCCTGTGGAACGGAGAGCTGCAGCAAGCTGCAAGAAATAGGAATGGAACTCCTGACAAAGTCTTCGGTTACCAGTTGTTACATAAGGAATTGTAAGTGCGTAGAAAAGGGATTGAAATGTCCCCCTTAGGGCTGTCAGTTGTATAGGTGGTTCATATATCCAGGCATCTGGAAATAGACCTCTTGGAGTTACTCATGCTCAAGTTCAGCTCTGCGAATCCAGAAACAAAGCCTGCACTAGGTAGATGTTACTGAAACTGGTTTCAGCCCTTCTTGATAAAAGCACTAAAACTTCCTCCCCGACCAGTAACACACCTAATGCAGTGTGAATGTTCTGAACCTGAATCCAGTATCGAACTGGTCCTGGCTGGAGGGCGTTTCTTGCTGAGAGCTGCTCTGCATCTGGTTCATCCCACCTGGGGATGTTTCATGCCAGTGAACAGCATTTTAAAATTCCTGACTTCCTGTGCTTTAGTAACTTAAAATCTTGCTGAAATTCAAGTAAGCCAGGGTTTTCTCTGGAGAGACTTCACCCTTTGAAAGGTGACTTCTTTCAGAGGTGCACTGTGGCATCTTTCGGATGCCGGCACGAAGGCTGTGCTGGTGCTTTGTTGCTCAGATCCTGAATGAAAACACTGATTGTTAATCCTCTCTGACTTCCCTGTTGCCTGGGAGAGATGAATTTCCAGCCTTCTGGCTTTTGATTCAAGTTATTGCTTGCATTTTGGAGCCAAGATGAATAGGTAGTGTATTATAAACATGGGCAGACTAAAGAATGGGTAGACTAGTTCTATTCCTCTCCATCCTTTTCAATACTGACCTGCAAAGCCGGGCTTTTGCAGCACCAGCAAAGGTCTGCTTTGCATTTCATCACTCCCACAGAGCAGAGAATTCCTTCTCTGATGGTGCACACGAAGAGAAAGAGTTGTGTTCAGGTCCGGAGCCCTGAATTGTGCCATCAGTAAAGCCACAGAAGGATCAAGCTAAGAGCTGAAGGGATGGGTTTGGCTGTCCTTGTCCTTTAGACTTGCCCGATGGCTGATGGAGTCTGGGTGTTGTCTTTCTGAAGGATGCCTTAGTGTTAAGGCAAGTGAATGTTACTTGTGGAGTCTCAGCCACGTGATCTCCCCTCTAGCCCAGGTCTGTGACAGGAAGGCTGTGGAAGGAGTTGTGAAGGATTCGAGTTAGTGAGCAGTGAGACTGATATGGAGCTTAACTCACTTAAACATAAAGACAGGATAGTGCAGCAGTTTGGCTGAACATTGTCACATCTTTAACTGTTTTTGCAGCTGCCAGTAAGAAAAGTAATTCTCCCAAACCTCTTCGCTCGGGAGCAGCAGGTAGCCTGTCCTTACGGAGAGCCATGGACTGCGGGGACAGCAACCTGCGTCTGAAGGGAGACGGGAAAACAGAAGGTAAACGAGGTCAGCTTTGCCTCTGTGGTGGGATGCACCCCTTGTACAAAAGCTTTTCAAGAAGTCCTTGACTCGGCAACTGAAGTTTCCCTGAGACTTGACTGGATCCCCTCTCAAATCTAGTCAGTGCTGTCGTGCCTCTGACGGCTGGTCTGCTGCGACCCAGTGCCCCGCAGCTGCCTCCCCTGACCCTCCCCCTGGGTGTTACCTGTTACTTCTGGTCTCTGAAGATGTTTCAGGAGCTAACTCCACCATGGGAATCACAGATCAAACAGTGCTGACCTAGGCTTAAATTCTGATCTGACTTAAAGGGTGTTCAGAAAGGCTCTGGATACACGTGATGAAAGAATTGTGCGATATTGCTGTGCCCTTCCTTAAGTGGTAATGAAGGGAAACACCTAGCACAGGAATTGGTATTTCGCCCCTCTCAAGTGTTCAGAGAAGGAATAGAGTATCACAGTTGTTTTCTTAGGATGCTAAATAGATAGAGAGTGCTTGGGGGAGAAACTGGAAAATACCATAAAGTCGTTACGCAGAGGAACTGTAACCTTTGTGCCCGGCTCAGCCTTGTCCAGGACTAGAAAGGTGCAGCCACCCGACTGCGTCTGGGGAAAACAGCAGGGAAGTGGGTGTCTGTGTTACTAGAAGATAAAGAGAAGTTTTAACTCCACAAGATGGGGAGGGATTAATCTGGATTTAGCCGAGTCTCCCAGCCAAAACGGCAGCTGAGACCAGCCCCGTGTGTTCAGAGGGAATGGTACGTGTTGCCCATACGCTGACTGAAAATCAAAGGGTTTTGGAGTGAGCCTGGGGAAGGTCTGGGACCGGCTGGCGATGTAAAACAACTGGATGTTCAACCTTGGGAAATAAAACTCCGTGTGCTTTGGGTTTCTCTCCCTCTCCTCCCAGGTGGCATAGGGAGCTCCAAGCTGAGTAGCCGGCATCACACTCCCAGGCCCCTGGCCGGCAGCTGCACCTCCGAGGCGCTGCCCAAGCCCGAGGAAAGACCTTGTGAAGGTTCAGATTCTGATGTGGGAGTTTCTGGCTTGAATGGTTTAGCTGCTGTAGAGAAGACCAGAAAAGTCGGTGCTCTAGGGTAAGGGGTTTATTCTTCCTTTCCTCTTGTTATCTCCTCCCCCACCTTCCCTTGATCTAGAAATAAAAAAAAAACAAAACCCCAATCTACTAAAACCAGGTGCTCGCAGCGTGGAAGAGAAATTACTTTGAAGTTTACTTGGTTGCTGCTGTTCCCTCTGGATATCACTTTTTGGTTTTATCACTAGGCTACAAGTCATCTTTTTTGGTTTTTTTTCTTTTATTTTGATCAGCTGTGGATGTAGTCTGAAACTTTGATTTGAAAGGCAGGCCCAGTCTGTTTTCCCATGATTCCTTGCAAAATATTCTCTGACTGAAAGTTATCACTTTTGATTTCCTCACTGAAGACGATGTTTTTCACTGTGACTCTACTTCTCAGCAGTTTCATAGCTCCCTGTTGGCTAATTAAGGAAAGTGCAACGGAGCACTCAGTTGTGGGGTAGTTTTTTTTTTTTTCTAAATAGCAAGAGTCGCTATTCTTGGAAAATACTCATCATAAACTTTTCCAGGTTTATTTTTTAAGATTTTAAATATTTCTAAATCAAAGCTGGAAGCTTAAGTGGGTATGCAAGAGACTTTAAACAATGAATAAAAACTAGATGTGGCACTAAAGGGATTTGTTTCCGTATCTGGATTAAAGCTGAACTTCCGACATGGGTGGTTTTTTTTATTTCTCCTAAATTCTTTCTTAAGAACGAATTCTAAAGGATGTCGTACAGAAGGAGCCCAGGCGGGTGGTGTGGAGAACAGCTCTGAAGCTGGCGAACGGCAGGGTGTGCTCTCTGAAGGTGCTTCTGCAGGGCCCGAGGAAGGTAAATGGGATGTTGTAGAGGGCAAAGGCGGTGTGATGACACTGCAGTCTACGCTGATCCGCTCTGTAATTGAAATAGCTTGAAGAGGGGGGGAAAAAAAAAGCCAAAAAAACCCAAACCAACAAAACCCCAAACCTGTTTTCATGGTTGTCGAACTTTGCTGTAACATTTGGCAGCTGTAGCATATATCTGGTGGAGGAGAGAACGCCTCTGTCACGGCTGCCTGGGGGGAAATCCTGACGTCAGGGTGCAGCAGGGATGGGAAGAGCTGGCAGATACTGTTAGACGGTGCCATCTATTTCCCTGGACTTCTGGTTGCTTTTTGTACCTCTTGGTATGTCTCCAGGTCTCTGGTGTTCAGTTACACGGCCTTGAAAATAATTTCTTATCTAATTAAAATAGTAGCCAGTGACCTTGGCTTTTAAGTCTTCTGCCTTCAGGGACAAACCACGTTGGTAACTACCTCCACGTCTGCACTAGAGTCTCTCCAACACTTCATTCGTGTCGGGTGTTGTGGTACGTAAGCCAGTTTCCTTAGAGACTTGGAGGAAACTTTTCCCCCTCCCTTCCTGCATCCTTTCCATGCTGGAAAAAAAATATTATTGCCTTTTTTTTTTTTTATGAAAGTCCACGTAGAAGAGTTTTTCTTATCTTGCTAAAGCTCTCCTGCCTTCCACCCCTGCACTAATTTGAATTTCAATGACTGAATTGTAGCGCAAAGCCTATATTAAGGTGCCAGCATCCATCTCTATCTGCAGTGTGCAATATTGTGTAGGAGTTGGCATTTACAGAAGGTCTCTCAGTGACAAAACTGAATTTCTGCTCTTAGTCACTGCAGCGTGATCGTGATGCGCTCCCGCAGCTCTCCTATTATAGCAGAGAGCCTAATAGGAAAATGTTTTTAAAACTGAAATACTTCATTGTTAAAAACCCCAGGAAACAAATATTACTTTTTTTTTTTTTTTCCTGTTGGAGGAAAAACTACAGTTGAGTTGGCACCTCACTTAACGACTTGCTTTTTCTTAGCAATGAGTATCAGCTCTTAAGAGGTAAAAGAACAGAGCAAACCCCTTTTGTCACCTCCAGAAGGGAGAGCTTTGACTGCTGTCAATGCACACTCAAGGTCTGGCAAAACGAAAGAAGCCACCTTGGTTATCAACAGCTCTGGCTCTCTTTTGTGGGAAAAGCGCGGGGGTGTTTGTGTGTGAGACTCGAATAGAGTATACTGCCGCGTGAAGGGTTTGGTGGGTGCCTTGCTCCGCGGGTCATACTACCTCTTCAAGTGTTTAAAAAAGCAGCTTTTTATTTTGTGTCCTAATTGTGGAGGTCGGCTGCGCAGGTGCCAGGGGAGTGCTGCTGGGGCAGGAAGGGGCTGCAGCCACCTGGGGATGGGGTGGAGCCGCTCCCCGTGAGCTGAGCCACGCGGCGAAGCTGGTACCCACGGCTCTGCCAGATTCCTTGGTGCTTTGGTACCTCTGAACGTGCTCCCGCTCTCTTGTTCTCCTGCCGGCTCTTGGTATTTGATAGTGGTAGCTCTTAGGTGTGAAAAGGTTGAATGCTCCAGCGATGTGATCTTACTGCCGCCGCTTTTGCCTTGTGGGTCTCCTCGGGGTGTTGTTTTTTTTTTTTTGCAGCTGGGGTGTGTCAGAAGCATGTCCTTCATCTCCTGCCAGGAATGAGCAGTGACAGTGACATTGAATGTGACACAGAAAACGAGGAGCAGGAGGACACCGCCTCTGCCTCGGAGGGGTTTAACCACGCCTTCTCCGTCCTGTCCTCGAGCGAAGGTAAGAGTTACCCCTGTGAGCTCCCCCCAGACCCTCCCGTGCCTCCGCCCCGGAGCTCCTGCTCCTGTCGTCCCCGCGCTGGCGGGGCTGGGGAGGCACTAAACCTCCCACAAGTGCCAGGAAGATGTGGAACTCCTCTCCTGGGATCCTAATTAAAACCAGATTAAAACAGGAGAGGGAAACTCTTTCTAGGCTTGAGAAGTCAGTTCAGGTGAGGCTCCCGGGGAGGTGCTGGAAAACCCACAGCTCTAGTTCTGACCTGGAACTCCCCGTGTACCCGGGTCAGCGCTGTAACTCGAGGTAACGGCTGCCCGTGGACACGGATTTACATCTTAATTGGCAGGAACGTGCTCTGAGGCTTCAGTGTAGTTTCAACAACTCATCTCCTATTTCTTTGAGAAGCTTTAACCTTCTGATCAAATTAAAAGCTGTAGGGTGACAGCTGATGCCAGGTGAAGTTGACGTTTAGCCTGAATAAGCATCCCACAGGGGATTAGCAGTGTGGCCTAACGACTGGGCTCAGTAATTGGAGTTTGCTGCTTTGCCCTGTGCCTGCGCAGGCACTAAAACCTCATGGCTTGTCAGAAGAATCAGAACATCGCTCATATCTGGCCTTGGCTTAGAGGTATCTTTAAATTGAAAGCCCCGGGGCTGTCTTAACTCTCTGTCGAGCCCACCGTGTTGCGCTACGTCAGTGCAGTGGGTCTTTGGGTGCGGCCTCCCGACGGCTCATCGGGTGACGGTCACCGGGGTCCTGTTTGGTTTGTTGGCAGCCTCGGAGCGGTGCTCCGTGTTCCCGGAGGGGGATCAGGTCGGTCCCGACGACCTCGGCTTCGTGGCTGGAGAAGACAGCACCAGGTAATTGTAACCGTTGGCCTGGGGGGGCCGCGGGGGCTGCAGCCACCGTGCTCCCAGGGCACCCTCGGCCTGCGGAGGGGCACAGCCTCACGAGGAAACTCTGCTTGGATTGAAGTGCCCGGTGGAACGTTTTTGACTCTTAAGGTGGTTGTTGCTTGAAGTCTTCAAGCTCTGTGGGTGGGAGGGTTTCTGGTGAAAGCTGGCTTTGTTTTGGAGCAGATAGAGAACGGGCTGAGGGCCTGAGGACCTGCCGGCTCGGGGAGAAGCGGCGTTTTGTTCAGTGCTGGTGGTGGCTGTGTGTGTGCTCCATCCCGCCCAGGGCCCTTCTTCAGTCGTCTCAAACCTGCTCCTGGGGCAAAGTGACCTCGGAAGGCCTTACCCTGACACGGCATTCCCACGTTCCGGCTCCGCCAGCCTCTCAAAAACTGTCTGGAAGGTTCTGGAGCCCTTTCCCAGGCTCCGGCCTCATCTCAAATGGCACAACCTGGGTGTGGGGGGTCTGTGTGGAGCCCGGGCGGGGGCACAACAGCCGCTGCAGCGGTTGTTTTCCTCAGCCTGGTGGGGACCAGCTGAACCTGTTGCCAAACTCTGCTGCTGTGCGTTGTGTTTTGAGCTGCTAAACGACGTGTGAAGCTACAACAGCTGAACGCCGGGGTAGTGACGGAGCATGAGTAACTGTAACCCAGAGCTGTGCGTGTCGCGGCTGCCTGTACTGATGTTGTTCTTTTCTGTCTGAATGTTCTGCAGTGTAAGTGCTGTACAACTCCCTAGTTTGAACCTGTTTGCACTTTGTTAATAAAATGAATGTTGAAAGCTGCTCCGAAGTTTTAGATGTTTCTGTGTCAAGGAGTAAGATGGTAGCACCTGCCTGCTCCTAGAAGAACTCCTTCCTACTTTACACCTGTCCCTTTTTCCCCTGAATTAGTCAATGAAAAGTGCTTAATATCCATCTGGGAGTTTGAAAGCCAGACTAAACGCTTAAATCTCGTCAATTCCGAGCTGAATTGACCTAATTTTACCCGAACTTGGTTGTGTGTGTCTCAGCTCCAGCTGCGGCGCCCGGACGGTGGCCTGGGCCCAGCTGCACGCGGCGGTGGCGCAGTGTGAGTGTTTACTCTTGTGCAGGGCTGCGTGTTGATTATTACCCACAGCTCAATTAGCAGTAATCACGGAGCTCTGCCTCTTCACCACTCGCAGATGCTTTACTTTGGCTAAGAGGCCTGAGCTGAAGGGAATTATTTTGATCAGCCCCAGGAGCAGTTCTGGATTATGTCCGACCTTTGCAGGGTCAAGAATGGGTGCAGGACCCTTGTGCCTCCCTGAGAACTGATGTACCTACAGCCGGTGGGTCGGGGGTACTGAAGGCTGATTTATGGAATTAACTCACACTGTGGTGTAACGGCCCCTTCCCTTTCTGGCTGTAAAAGGGGTCAGGGCGACGCCCCAGGGCCGTGCTGAGCTGCAAAAATCTGCTCCTACCCCAAGAAAGACGCTTAGTTCGGGTGGTGGTTGGTGCCCTTTTAACTCTTAAATAAACAGACCACCTGAAGTGTGGTTTAAATTACTGTTTTATTAAGATATTGGTAAAACTTTAACAGTTTTTCCTGTATAAACAGCTTTCATAAATAAAATACGGATGACTAATACATGGTTATAACTAAACTCGCATGTGAACTGTAGAACAAGGTTGAAGGGGGAGGGCCCACCCCTGTGGCAGCCTTAGCTGTCACTTATTTGCTTCATAAAGACCACGTGAGTTTCATGAACAAGATAACACAGAAAGGTTGACGGGAGCACCCAGGGACAACACACCTGGCTCTCGCCACACGCGCTGGTGCCGGAGGAGTTCTCGGGGTGAGCTCAGCCAGCTTCCCTTGTTCCAAGGTGGCTTCTAGAGTGAAGGAGAGAAAAGACCCAACAAAACGCGATTGCGACATACAACAGTTGTACTAAACCCTAAGAGGTGGGGTTGTATTTTTTTTTTTTCTTCTTTAGCTTTAATGCTGGCAAGTACAGTGCGAGCGCTGGATTAGCGAGGACTGGGGAAGGATACGGACACGGACGTTTGAGGTTGTGTTAATGCTTCATTATTACTTATTGCACATGATACAAGGGTAGAAAGTTTCGTTCCTGTTGCACAGAGGCTACGAATTAAAGAAAGATTGCCCTAAATCGCAGGCGTGAACAAAGCTGCAGTATCCCCTCCCATGGCTTCGTTTACGTGACTAGTGCTGAGTGAATAAATTGTGCTCAAGCAGCCCCTCATTTAGACCAATCTTTCTCTTTTTTTTTTTTTTTTTTGTCCCCCGTAGAACGTTGCCAGGGTGGGGAGGATGGAGGGAGGAGATAGTGGACCTGAACTACAGCAGCCGTGTCTGTAAGCACAGACCTGGCGGCGCCTCAGCGGATCTGCCCACAGGACCACGCGCTTCTCGCTGACACACAGTGTTCCAAAAACAGAGCGGAGTTTCTGTGAGGATGCACCACTATAAATGTGGCGTTAAGTTAAAAGTCTGCTTTGACATTGTCCTTCAGTGTCACAATGCAACCGAAATCAAATACCGAATGGTTTGAACTTGCAAGGACAATTGATGGCACTTCTAGGTAAAGAAAAAAGTTATATACATGCGTTTCCACCCACCTTTAGTGCAAATCGAAAGGGGTTAACAGCTCCCTGGTCTGGTGCTATACTGCTCTCTGCAACGCAGACATTCCTCAGAGTTGCACATTGAAAAAAGTGTACACAGGAAACTCCCAGCGTGGGGATCGCGGGGATCCCGCTAGTACTCACAGTGAAGAGCTTACGAGCGAGTTTTGAGCAGCTTCAGACAAACCGTCTGGAGCCCGGGTCTCAAAACCGACACAATTTAACCAAAAAAAAAAAGAAAAAAAAAAGAAAAAAATGTTTTCACTACCTACCTCCTAGTTCTGCAAACACGGTTAACACGTAAACTGAAAGTGATGCGGGTTGTGTTAACGCGGAAAAGGGATACTTCAGCTCTTTATTGGAAAGATTCGTTATACAAATTTCACCACCACTAAGATACACAATAAAAATACAAAACACAGGTCACAGACTGAATCTCAGTATCAACAGTTAATAAATACAATTAGATACTTTCATATTAGCCTAATATTTTTACATTGTCACCAGATAGACAATCAAAGTACGAGATACAGAACACTTAGATACCGTTAGAGAGGGATTATTGCTTACGTTAGCAAGCAGCAAATAAGGGCACAGGATTGTGAACTGAAGAGAACTACTTCCTATCACCAGTGGCATTAAGAGAAAACACTGCATTTCACAAAGCACTGCTTTTTTGTCTAGAGTGTAGAATCAAGAGCAGCATATATCAGACCAATAACCACTACTTTTAATATTATAGAACTTTAAAGGACTTACCTTACAAATGGTTCCTATCTACTCTATAAATATGTATTTAGTGAAGAAATGAACACTTGCTATCTATACAATGGTTTTACCTGACCACACTGGAACTACGATGGTAGATTTTTTAATATTTTTTTTTTTTTCTCCTAGCAGGATAAAATGGCATGAGTCGCAGAATTATCGTTTATGAATCCACACCTAAAAAGCTAGATCCTTCCCAAAACAGCACACCTGCAGCCCAGTGCTCTTCAACTGCTCCTGCAGACTGGGAAGAAGTTTTATCATCCGTAACGGCTTTTCATTCTAATTTACTCACACGAAGAATTGCACTTACACCACCTCTCTCTCCGAAGCGCGACAGTCACCTCTAAGATGGACCTTCAACCTGTCATTATTACTGTGAATAATTTAAAACGAAGGCACCGCAGAGATGCCCCAGAGTTGCATATTTTACCCTTTCCTGGTTTCTCAAATTTCCTCAGTAAATCTGACTCGGAACATACGCTGCAGCTAAAGAGAACATTGACAAACAGCTAAGGCTTAATAAGATGACAGATAAGAGCCAATGATCCCGTAAGATTTAAAAAAAAAAAAGTCTGGAAAAGATCAAAGGAATCTAAAGCCACACTCTGACTCCTGGTTACTCACAAAGCCTTTTGCTATTCATCAGATTGCTTTTGAAATAGTGCATCAAAGATAGAAGCAGCGGAAATTGGCAGAATTCAAACCTTGCCATCTTGTTGTGTTGAATAATCTCCTGACTACTTAATATATTAAAATACTTTGCAAACTCTAGCTAAGTACTAATACTGTTATTAAATCGTTACCGCTAAAGTGATATGAATTGTACAATAAATGCCTGTGAAGACTTACTTTATTCATACTCTTCCAAATGTCTAACTGTAACAAAGAATAATAACGGGATGTGAATTTAGTGGAGCTGACGGAATCGTCTGCTTACTTACGTCCCAATTAACCGCTCCCCTCAGGGTGCGACGTCACCTCGAGAGCAGGGAGGAGCCGGTGGGTCTGTTTGTCACCCAGTTCGATAACTAATGCTCTGCCTACGAAAATAAGGGCGACCGACATTCCTCGCTCTCCTGTCTGAGCCCAGGTTTAACCGAAGCAGAGCTCTGCCTTCTCCGGGAGTTTTACCCTCTCCACTAAAGCCCAAGCGCAGCCCCTGCTCGGGGGATCGCTCCGGGCCCGCGCGCGCTGGAAATCGCCGCGTTGCGGCGAGAACGCTCCTCGTAGACACGGCGTCCTACCAGCCTTCCTGCTGCAACTGCAGGGGAAATTACGCCTTCGCCGTCTAGAAATCACGACCGAAACCAAACAGCTCGTCAAATTGCTCATTATCTCTCGAAAGCAGTTCTCTGGTTTGGCTGGTTGAGTGACAGTAGCGTTGTACTGAACGTCTCCACAGATCGGTTTCTTTTAAGACCTGAGATGAAGTTACGGTGGAAAGAGGTTGGCTCAAAGCATTAAGCACAATCATGTTCAATTAAAACTAATTGAGAACAGTTTCCTAAACTGACAAACGAGAAAAATGCCACTAAAAGCACAAGAAAGGTATGAAATTCCCTACACTGCACCTCTAGCCATAGGAAATAATTTTTTTTTAAACTACAAAAAATGTTTTTTTCATATTCCATGTTTTATGTTACATGGGGAAAAAAAAAAAAAAAAAAAAGGTAAATTATGAGTCTGTACCTCAGCTGGAGTCTGAGAACAGAGTAGCAGGAGCTTAGTTTGTCTGTTCCTAAGTTACCTGGTAAAACCCTGTATGGCTTTTAGTCGTCTACCTGCAAAAGCGGATGTGATTTTCTAATTCACCTTAACGCTCGCCTGAAATAAACAGAAAGCAGAACACGCACAAAAGAAAAAAAAAAAAAAAAAAAAAAAAAAAAAAAAAAAAAAGGCAACTTCCCCCCCACTCTCAGAAAATTTGGCAGTTCTAAACCAGAATCTTTCTTTCCGTATTGCTCCACAGACGTCCCTCGGGCGGGCTCAGCTTCCCGCGGTGTCACAGCCCGTGCCCCACGCGCGAGCACCGGCTGCCGCCTCCCCCTGGTGAACGTGGGTGGGTCCGTGCGGGTGGCCGGGTGGCTGTGGCACTGCTCAGGGTGGCACCGCCACCAACACTTCATTGAGATTGAAACAACTACATTTGTTAATTCCTAGATCTATTTACACGTGGGTTGAGCTTTGCAGGGGACTGGAGTACAGTTCGGAAATGCCCACCTTTTGTCGCCTTCTGATGATGCCGGTTTTATTTTGGGAACGTCTACTTTGGGAGTCTGACGGGGGACGCGAGGGGGGACGGTTACATTTTACAGCATTGATGAAGGTGTGAATCTGGTATACAATTACTTTGTCTTCGCATCAAAAACACGCTCTCAGTGTCAGCGCTACGCCCAGCCAGCCTCCACCACGGGGAGTGTCTTACCCACAACCTCGTGCTACTGCGGGCCCGGACGGGCAAGGACAGCCTCGATCCTTCTAGGTGGAAAGGCTCACGGGCCCAGAGCGGCGCGTGAAACTTTGGTTTGAGCCTGGCTCCTCGTCGCCTCTTCCCGTTACAGAGCCGGAGGTGAAAGAGAGCAGCTCGCTTTCCCAAGGATTTGAACAGTTCCTCTTCCAGCCCACAGAGGATGGGGGATAAACCCTTCACCCTGTAGCTGCTCGGCCCTGCAGCAGCCACACCATGGGGAGCGTGGTGCCCCCGGGGATCGCGCTGTGCGCGCGGCGGCGGCGGGCTGCGCTCCGGCGAGTCGTTCTTCACTGCTAAGCTGATCCAGTTGGTGCTCTTTGGTATGCCAGGACTAAACGCTTGGATTGGCGGCAGACATTTGGCACTCTGAGGTGTACTAGTTCCTGTTTTTGTCAGGTCTAAATAGCCTTGATCATCAAACAGGTTAATGCTGGACCCTATGCTTAAGCTAGTTCTGTCGGTGAAGGAATCCACTCGTCCTTCGTACCCTAGGTCTGCAGGTGCTGAGCACTGATGCTGGGGCCACGGCCGTTTGCAGTCTCCATGGTTTTCCTTATCTTCGCCGTTGTCTTCTTGCCCACCTTGAAAAGAGTTCTCTGTCCAGTCCGACTCCTCGCTCACATTGACCGCTGCGTTCATGTCCCTGAGAAATACCACAATGACAGTAATGTTGTCGCTGGAACCGGCGTCCCGAGCAGACGCCACTAATTTATGTGCTACCATGCTGCTGTCGCCATTATTCTCCTTCAGATGGTCAGCCACCACTTTGACTGCCTCATCGGGATTGACTGTGTCATAGAAGCCGTCGCAGGCTAGAATGAGGTAGTCTTCAGAGCCATCTAGGACAGTGGAGGCAGAGTCTGCGTCCCCGCAGATATATGGCTTGTGCTCAGCATCCCCTGTGGAAAAACACCACACAGAGACACCAGACCGTGGGTTTGCAGCCACAGGATCTGGAAGCCCTTTTATTAACACAGCACGGAGCCGATGACTCTTACCCCAAGTTAAAGAAATTATTTGGAAATTATTCCCTCAGACTGTAGAGGGAAAAAATAGAGGTTATCACCCACAGGTCTCTCTTCAGCTGTATTTCAAATTTAGATGGCTAGAAAAATTAAAGTTTTAATTAAAAAGAAAAGCAAAGTGGAAAAAGGGATTGAAGCCCACTCTTACCAATAGCTCTGGAGACTGAGAGGCTCCCATTCACCCTCCAGGCTCCAAACCAGACCACACAGCCCCCAAGTGCCTCAATGCGCTTCTTCTCATCCTAAACAGCAAGGCAACACGAGAGGGTTTGGACAGAGCCTTCAGTACCGCCAGCGCACGCCAAACACGCCCAGAAATATTTAGTATTCACAAACACAGCATGGTGGGGGCTGCAGGCCCCAGCAGATGAGAACCAAGGGTTTGCAGACAAATCCACACCAGCTTCTAAACAAAGCGGGACAACTGGAGCTGCCGCTCTAAGAGACCGCGGCAAGGTGACACTCCGTGTCCCACATAAAGCTGATTCCTGTCAGCTGCAGCGGTGAGGACTGCCTGGGTGCATTTAAAACAGGGTATTCTCACCTCTCGATCTGGTTTGTGGGGCTTCATCAGTTCCACAGCTTGGCCTCTCCTCACGAGCATAACCTGGGAGTCCCCCAGCCAAGCCACGTGCAGCATGTTTCCTCGGATGAAAGTCACCACCCCGGTGGTTCCACAGCGCAGGCTCTGGGGAGGGTGAAAAGAAAAAAATAAAATGCCAGCAGTTTTAAATAAGCAAATAAGAACCATTTCAAAGCATTTTCTTGCTTAACTCGAGGACAGAACACGTTGATGTTCCAACACTCAGCCTGTTCCGGGGAGGAACGGGCAGCGCTTTCCTTCCTGCTCCGACTGTGCAGTAACAGCCCCTCAGAGCCAAAGTGGCCAGACACAAGCCATCGATTTTGCCCTGTGACTTCCCCTGCCTTGGAGCCGTGTTTCAGAAGCCGGGCCCTGCTAGAGAGCTTCTGCACTACTGGTTTGACTTGTAATAGTTAAGAAGTGAGAGTTAACAGGTTGTTTCTAAAAGCTTTAAAAATCTTTCTTCTTTTGGCGTTGGACAAAGGTTTCTTTGTAAGCTTCTGGAGTTCCCTGCACTTAACTCAGCCCTTGTATATGTTTAGGAGGCCTAAGGGTCAGTTACCCATTGATTTGTGCTTTCTAGAGCTAAGAAAAAGGTATGTTGTAGAGATGAGGGGAAAAAAAATACCACCCGAGGACTAAACCTGGTTAGCATGTGAACTTAAAACCAGCAGCAGCGTCCTCCTAAACGAAAAAGGGATGTGTGGGAAGCGGAGGCTCAGCGCCTGGAGCACCCCTGCTGACAGAGGAGGTGGAGGTGAACGCTCTCAGAGCCCAGCCCAGGTCAGTCAGTCACCTCTCTGGCTGCCTTCTGCACAAAGCGCTCGTCGGTCACCCGGAACGCCCGGCACAGCGCTTCTGCCGGGTCCTGCTGGAACATCTCCTGGTGCACCATGTTGACGTGGAGGTGGATGGAGGCGTAGATGGCAGCGTCCACGCCCCCGTGGCCATCAAACACGGCAAAATAAGCTTGCTCTTCTTGGTCCTGTCAACGGGAACACATTGAGAAAACAACTCAGGGAAATGCAATGCAAGCGGCTAACTGGATTGTCTTAAAACTTTTGAACTTGAGATTTGTGGGATCCTCATGAAATTGTACTTAAAGGCAGAGTCTCCACTGGAAAAACAAACTACTCGGACCGTCTTTGCTGGCATTGATGGGAAATTCCACCTTATTGCTGATGAATTCTACCTGCAAACTGCAAGGGATGCCCGTGTGGTGCTCCCAGAGCTCCCTGTGTCCCATTTGTCACAGTTCAGTCACTCAACTCAAATAGAAAGTGCCATTCTTATCAAATGGTGCAGCAGGTTTTGTGTGCAAAAGCCATGGAGAGAGAACATCCAGTACAGTTCACATGAAGTCTACATCAAGACTAGAACCACCAAAGATAAAATGCCAGTACAGTTAAAATGTAAAGCCGGCCACAGCCTCTGCTTTAATTCTTTTTTTTTTTTTTTTTAATCTAATCCATATCACCTTAGATGCCTGTTTTTTTTTTAAAAAAACCTGTATGTACTCTTTCATCAGATATTTGTGATTACATTCACAAATCAAATACAGCAAAATCACTCATCTTCAAGTCAGTTCTCTCAGCTTCCCCTTATCTGTTCAAACAGAGAAACAATGCTGTACCAAGAGACAGCAACTCCTGTGCCTACTCGTACATATAACACACCAACCCACTGTCAGCGCCAATTCAACCTTGACAGCCATCTCAATGACTAGAATATTTGTACATTGTAATTTTTAAGTAATGGGCTCCAACACAAATTGAAATAAGAAGGCTGACAATTGACAGGCAAAGGAAACATCTGCCTCTGTTTGCATTAATATCATTTAAAAGCAAGAACGTGGATGGGGCAGAAGATGGTTATTAAAGTGACAGGATGTAATAAAGAATCAATTATGCAGCAATCTGATCCTAAAGGTAAAATTCTTGCCACTTTCTTCTATTTGCCTTTCTTCAGTGTCCAGTTTTTATATCTGAAGGAGAAGCAGGCATGAGTGTTTGACCAATGGCCACAAAAAGTAATTAATGGAGGGAAGTCTGGCCCCAGTTCCACCAAACCACTCATGGTGCTAGATTCCTGCACCCCATTCTCCTCTAAGTTTTGAGGTTTGGTTTGGTTTGTTTTTTTACTTTCTTTCCTTATTCCCGTTTCTGGCTTCTTCCTCCTAAGAGAAAGGGTTGTCAAGCAGGACAGACCCACCCCTGTAGACAACTGGTTTCAGTGATGAACTGCAAGGTGAACTGCTTCCCCTTTCCATGAGCAATCCTCTTCCACACCTGGGCACGTGCAGCCAAAGAGAAGCTCCCACCTTGATTTATCGCATGGTACAAGGCATCAGTTGCTGCTCACAAAAGTAGGGCTGCTTTCTGCACGATGACAGGTCAGCCCTTCAGCCACTCCACGAGTGGCTGCCTCAGGATGGGCCAAATACAAACTTTAGTTAGATAACATTTCACCAGAAGCCTTGAAAATTGCTCTTCTAGTCTATGTACCCAGCGTAGAAACTGCATGTCACGCTGCTGCTATGGCTACAGAATATCAACTGACCCAACTAAAGACTGGGTGTGTCTCCTGACTGTCAGTCCTGCCCAGGTCCATCACAGGTATGGCTTTTGTTTTCACAGCAGAAGGCTGCCTAGTTTCCCCAGGAATAGAAACTGTACTTAGCCTATGCATTTGTCTTCCCCACGATCTCTTTTTACCTCAAGGTTGAAGAGCATGTTGAAGTCCGGGATGCAGACGTGCTTGTCTTCCATCTTCCTGCGCATATTCTTGATGGCATGGATGGATGTCTCGTAGTAGCGGTGGGGCTTCGGCTGGAGCGGAAAGTCTTTCACCCAGTTGCTGCAGATCTCGTGCAATTTGCTAAAAACTACGCGGGCTAGCTTCACTGTCTCAATCTCTGGGGAAGGCAAAAACCACAAATGAAAGGCTAAGAGTGTTATTAAGCGGGAAATTTTTTCTTGCATACATTACAAAGATGGAAAAAAGACCATTCTAGCCGAGCAGCTGGAATAGATGTCAGCAGGGAAATTCTGGGCTCTGATGCATAAAAAGAGGAAGCCAAACTCACCATAAACAGCATTCATCATTGTTTGTTTGTCTTTTTAACTTAAACATTCCCCTGTGCCTTTGGGGAACTCATTTGTGGCGTCAGGAGAAACGAAAAGCAAGAAGGTTTCCCTCACCATTTGATCCCCTGCATCACTCTGCCCAGGGGGGTGCAGCTGTGCCACTGCAGCTCTGAGAAGGACTTTGTCATGACATATCGTGTCACATACAAACCCCACAGTCCGTTACAGTCACGTCTTGGGTTTAGACCAAAGTGTCTATTCCTAACAACACCTCACTGCAGAACTGAGGCAATACAGTGGTAAACAATCTACAGAAATGAATAGCATCACTTTAAGATGTTTTGGTGGGGTACACATCCAGTACCTTCTTAGTTTCATAATGTTGTTTCCAGATTCATGACCAGAGAGTGCGTCAAAGAAATCTGCATGAGCAAATGAGAAAACCATAAAGGTCTTCAATTTAAGAAAATGCTGAACTGTCACTCCTGAGAAATTGTAATTTTAAAATGTGAAAACTTGGGCACTTGACAATTGTTCTGAAATGCAGGGGAGGAAAACGGGAAGTAAGCATCAGAGCTGAACGCAGCAGAATCTCCTTGTTCATGATCATTCACCAGAGATCTTCAAAGCCAGACAGCAGCAATCTGTGAGTGTCAAACGTTCCTGGAAGAGGAATGGCTCAAATACAGGGAGTAGAGGGGAGAGTTACAGCAGCTCTCAGTTCACAGCAATTCTGTGAAGAACCTAAAAGGAGCTCTTCCTAACTTCTGTACTAGGTCTACACAAGGTGTGGGCTACAGCGATCAGGGGGCCAAGATCCTTAGGAGCAAGATATATTCCCGGCTCTATTGATTATGAGTTGGTTCAAGCTCGATCTGCAGGAGCAGCCACGAAGCCAGAAATAAGCTACAGACATAATCAAAAGGAGGAATCTTAGCATCTTGATCACACAGCTTTAAAATAAATGGTGGAAATCAAATGACTGGGTCATGCCACCACTGCCATAGTAACAGGTACCAATTCCCCCACAACACCTCTGCTGCTCTCACCAGTGCCACCAGAAATCCCTTTGCTGGGTAATACAACTAAAGAGGGAAGACGTACAGCCTGGCATGTCCAAATGGTATTTTCCAAAAGTGAACCCTACAGACTCGCTCTGCCATTTCCTTCCACTGGGCACATCCGAAGGGAAAGGGTGGACATTCAGCGTCACGTGGCCGTTACACTTCAGAGCATCCCTCTGAAGGGGGGAGGGAGGGAGGGAGGGAGGGAGGAAACCCCCTGGCTGTGCCCAGGCACTGAGCACCCTTCCCAGCAGGGAGTGTGCGTAGCGTCAGCATCATCAATAACGGCTCTGGAGGTTAAAACAGGAGAAAGGCCCACAACCTCCCCCTCACAGCTGTAAATTACTCATCAATTGTTAATGTTGCAGCGCTGAGCCAGAGCTGACTCAGCTGTCACTGCGGTTGTGTCATGGAGAATTTCATTTCCCTCCTGCTGCTCCAAAATCCCCAGTGTTGGAAGCAGTGCTTAATTGTACCACAGCTAAGTGGGAAATCCAGCTCAGGCATTATAGTTCCCAAAGGCAACTGACTTCTTTTAGGGCAAAATGAGGGTATAAAGAATACCAGTAATCAGATTTTGCTTTTTACTACCTAAATTTTAAGGGCTTTCTTGAAAACGCAGACAGTCTCACAACAGGGATCAGTACCCAGGTTTGTAGACAGGTCGTCAAGCTGATGACAAGGTCTTAATCTAAGAAGTCAAGTTTCTGACTGGTCAGTGACCTCTTTGTGTCTTGGCTGTAGTAACTCCATCTGTTAGTACCTGCAGAGATGGGGTAATGGGACTTTGGGATCCGCTTTGTGAAGTCTGCTGGATGTTTCAGACACCTTCACCGTGTAATGTGGTCCTACTATCCAGCCTCCTTTAGTGCTTCCTTAACAGTGCTGAACCCCCCCACGTGAATATCTTTCTCCACAAAAAAGAAAACTAAATGTTCTTAAACCCGACCTTTCAAAAAAGGAAATCAAATGTCTTTCAGTTCTCATGGAAGCTCTCTTGCTTCTCTCCAGTGCAAATGGAAGAGAACAATCAGTCCTGGCCCATGACTCTTATTCTTGAGATCCAAAGACACGTGGTCAGCCCAAATATAACAGTTCCATATTCCTGCATTCCTACATTTTAGGACTCGAGTTTTCCTTCTTTTAAGATTAGCATTCTTCTTTCATGAAGCCTCTAATTTCCTTTCCACCAGCACACCAATAACTGCTTTTACCGCTCCTAAGCATGCAATACGATTTGTCACGTTGCAATTCTCAGAGTCACTAAGGAAATGTGGAATTTATTTATTTTTTTTCCTTCTAGCAAAATCAAACTTGAGGCAAATCAGGTAAATGTCTCCTTGTATTATGCAAAGTAAAAATATTTGTGTGTTCATAAGAAAAAAACGACATAGAATTGGATTATCAAAACCAGCCAGCTAAATTCAGCTTGGTTTCACATTCTACTGGCACTCCAGACATCATTAGGGTCAACAGTGAACTCTGAGCACAAAACTTCAAGATGTATAAATCCCATTTTCATCACCTGCTACAGTTCCCTTTGTTTTCTTTCAAAGCATGAAAGCCTGCCTATATGGTACCCGTTAGGGCCTTCACCTGTTGCAGCTCTCTTGAGCAATGAGCCCCGGTGTCTCAAAGGACTCCTACGCAGAAAGTGAGCGAGAAAGGAATTGCTGACCTTTTGCAATGAAGTCTCCTTCAGTCCTGCATGAATCCCCCCAGTTTTGTTACAATTTTCTCTAGCCAAAGCTCGCACCACTTGAGCTAATGCTCCATTTTGAAAATTAGCATTATGGTGTATTATTTAAAACTAGCATTCATGTGAAACCACTGCTTTCCCACAGTCCAGAAGATGTTCTCTTTCTTCCTCTCCCCCTTTATCTTCATATTTGAACACTTTACATTGCATCTATAAAGGTATATTTTATTTTCAAGTACCTTCATTATGACAATTCACCTCAACATACTGCAGCTGGAGTCATATTTTTAGTGCCTGCTCCAGCCTGTACACATACCAATCCATGTTTGCATCCGTGTATTACAGATTTAGATATATTTAAGTGGCAATTTCTGTAGGTGTGAGGATTTTGTGGTGGTTTTTTTTTTTTTTTTTTTTTTTTTTTTTTTTTTTTTGTTGAACTCTTTAGATATTCTGTGTGGAGGCTTAGTCAACATTTCCTTGGAGACTGTCAAATATTTATGCAAGTCTCAGAGATCTCAATTTGAAATTAATGAAGGCTGCTCAGCCAGAACAATGACAAATCTATTCCATTTACCTGCTCAGCAGGAGGAGGCAGCAATACCTACAAAAAAGGAACCCAGAGCTTATTTTTCTGTTTCTCAGGTTTCCCTGAGAAATACAGCAGAATCTTCCTTTTTGAAGAACCAGATTTATATATCCTACTTATCCCCAGAATCATTTATTTATTTTTTTTATCAAAAAAGGACGGAATAGACAAAAGTGGTTTGGTGGCTGTATTTTCAAGATCAAATGACAGAATTCTTCTCAATACATGTGAGAAGCATTGTCCTTCATTGTAATGAGCACCCTAGAAGGTTTTTCAAAAGGTTATTTGGGTCAGCAGAATCCCAAAATGATTTAGGGTGCATGGCTTTGAGTTGGATGCTGCAAAAATCTTGTTAACCAACACAGATAAAAGAAGAAAAGGAAATTTTCCTTGTAAGCATGAACTATCTTTGTACTATCCTTTGCTAAAACTACATAAAAAAATTACAAGCCACGGTAAAAGCTGTATTGATTGAAATGATTCGGAATCATCTCTTCCCACTTAGATATCTTTGACCTTGCTCTAAGGATGAAGGAGGACAACCGGCACTCACCAGCAAGCAGCAGGACCACACATTCTAAAGTGCTTACAAAGAAATTCAGGGCCACCAGACACAGTCTTATGAAGGTGCACTTAAAAGAAAGGAGTGATTTCCACCTGGTCTTAAGGAGCAGGAGTTTGATAAAGTAGAAGTACAGATACAACCAGAGAAAGGCATTTAAAATAGATCAAGAATAGTAAAACTAGGGAAGATTCAAAGATGAGGAAGTTCTGACTAAGCAATTAGCCACTAACTGTATCAGGAGTGGTGGTGAATTCTCCATTAATCTTTTTACAACGATATGGAATATTCCTTTACAAGAAATCTAGTCCAGCTTCATTTAGTTAGTTGGTAGAAGCAACTAATTTGAAGAAAATTCAATTTGAAGAAAATTCAAGTACCATTCAAGTGGTCAGGCCAGATGGATCACTGAAGTCAATGCTGACTTTAAAAAAAAAAATCTATGAATTATCTGCAAAGGGTTCCAGTATAGAGTATAAATGAAAGATCCACACCATGTAAAATTGTGTATTATCAAGTGCAGATGTACTTACGTATGATCCCATCTGCGTTGTCCACATGCTTTGGTAAATAGTGTGCTGAAAGATCACTCTGAAGGACTTCATCTGAAGTTGCTCTAGCTAAAGCAGCAGCCAAAAATGAAGGGCAATTACTGGAAAAGAAAAAAAACACACAAAAAGATATTTTAATCTGATTTAACAAGGTAACTTGCAGTCAGGGAAACACATAACGTTATTTTCTATAAACAAACGGGAATTTGCACCAATATTTGTAAAACTTTCGATTCTCCTTTGCTAGACAGCATCACAACCCTGCAGCAAGACCTCAACCTCACCGTATGGATCTTAGTAACCCTGTTTCACTCTTAGGTTCCCCGTTCCTTAAGTTTTAATGTTCCATTTCGTAAGCTCTATGTGAAGGTTTTTCAAATCTAAACTTGAACCCCCCTGCAGAGTCTGTCGTGCAACCCTTGCTTAGTGTACATTTGCTACACGTACGTTACACACTTTTATCTTAAGCCCACACTTCACCCAGTTTCTCCTAAGAGCTGGAGTCAGGATTCCAAAGGATAAGAGAATCCTCAAATTGTCCAAAAGCTCACCAAGGGACACTGAAAGTTGTAGGAGGTATGCAGTTGATGTGCATAAGGTTAAAAAGCTCCCTCGTGAATGTTCTCTATCAAGAGTAAAGTGGCTTTAACTCACTGTAGCTTAATTAAGCCTGATATCTCCCAAGGTTAATTAATCTATAGCAAACCAAAGCCACTTTAATGTACATTCCCTCATTCACGAGTTTAATACCTCTTAATTTATGCAGGACTTTGTATTTCCCATTGGTCTGCCTTAACTTCTCCAGGTGTCTCTTGCTGATGCAGCTTGAAACTTCCAGTTTCTGTAGTTGTCATTGGGGTAACAATGTCCTCCATAGGGCCTGTCTAGGACTGCGCAGAGACGTACGAGCTAACTTCAGCCTCAGAAACCACCCATCAACAACAGAGCTCTGCATCAGCTCATCCAGGGAACAGGCAAGGCACACATACACCTCCTTAACCTATTTCCTCTGCTTAGGCCCAGGAGGTCTGTTCACATGCTTTTAGCATGGTTGGAGAGGAGGTGGCAGCCTGGAAGCATCAGTCTAACCAGATCCAGAGCAGAAAAACTTCGACACATGAATCCGGACTCATCAGACATCGTTCTGGAGCCTGAGACGCACACGGCGACCGTCACTCGCTTTTCACATTTGGTTCACTGCCCAGGAAAGCCAACTGCCACCCTCCGCTGGCCCACATGCCGTAGCTTCGGCAGTGAAATCTGAATTCCAGGAAAGAAAAATTCAGATTTGCTAGAGGGTTTTTTTTTTTTGAAAAGCCATTTTACCATGAAGTTTTCCAGATTCTTGTACCAAATGCTGCTACAAACAGTAAGATTACGTAGCAGATTTATAAAACGCACACAAAATAAGTTCACCGACCCTCCTTATTTACTATTCGACATATCTCTAAATTATTTAAAGATTAGCAATAAATAGCTTTGTCCAAGTGATAGCCTGTCAGGAGCCACGCTCTGACCCTTGCAGCGAGGCAGAAAGCCACTCGCACTGCGTTACTGCGCCCTCCCTAAGAGTATTTCCTCGAACGAGCAGCTGAGCATTCCGCTCACGCAGCATCTCCAAGCCTCAGCAACGTGTGCGCACTAATGAAGCGCGACTGCTGGAGGAAATCAGCTGTCTTAGGACTGGCTCTTCCCAGCACAACCCAGGAACTTGGATCCTATTTCCATACAGCAATGCCCGGTGGTAAGTGATCAGCAAGAGGAAAACACACCGGGACCTCCTTTACTTCTGCTGTGTGTAGAAGCTGATTTTCTAGCTCGTCTTGTCCGCCTTTATTTAGCTCACAAAGAGCAGGTTTTTCATTTCTATTATTAGCTCCGACACTCCAGAGCAGTGAGACTGGTTACTGTTCATGTTACGTGCAATTTCCATGTTACAACAAAGCGAGAGATTGCGATGCCAAGGATAGAATAATTACGCCAGCAGTTAGCAACGGCGGGAGGACAGCGTTCTGAAAAAATGCAGAGAAGATTAAGGTTCAGCCTAAATAACACGCAGCAGAAGAATCCGTGCAGAAAGCATTTACAGACACAAGCCAGACAGCTCGCTTCGGGCACAAACGTAACAGGCTGTGCTACCACCTGCAGCAACCTGAGCTTGTGTTCCAGTCCAAGGCTTACCCTCACCAGCTCAGTGCTGGAACTCTTTAGGAAAACCAAACTGATTCATTTTCTAACTGGATAACTTTTACGTATAAACAACCGCTCAGGAACGTCAACTGATGAGCAGAGAGGGAACCAGGTTAATAACTGAGGCATCCACGTTGTTAAATTAGACACTCAGACCTAAACAGCAGAGAAAAAATATGTCCCGACACAAGGAACCTCTGCTCTGCCTGGGCTTGGAAGGTGGGAAGGCCACGTCCATCAAGACCTAGAGTCATGAACATTCTTATCTGAAATTTTAGATAATATTTTAACAGTAGTGACGGATTACAAAATTGAAAGGTGCGTTTCTTAGTGTATGTAGCTGGTCAGAGTATTTCCCCAATCAGCTCCAAATGCTATTTACATCCCTACAGCCAGTGCTAGCAATTTCACACAGGAGCTCTTTATCCAGCCAAAGAGTGAATTTCCATTACAATACTAAACCTACACAAAAAGCTGCTAAAGATGTTATTAGATAAATTAGAGGATTTTAAGCACATCCTTCCTGATTCTCTGGCAGCGTGGGTGTGTTTAGAACACCCACAGTTGCATTGCAGCAATCCTGGAATAAGTCCTCTAAGGTAATAAATCAAGCCTAAAAGTGGGCCGTTTCCATCAATTAAGTTTGAGAAAAACAGTCTGAAGTGGGCTTAACTCAGCCCACATATTATTATGTTACCGGCTTAACACACAACTCTGCTTCTTCCTGATAGCATTAAAGTGGTGAAGACTTTCCAAACATTTTCTCCGAGCTATTCCTCTGTGCTCTAGATCTAATATAAGGTCGCCTTCTAAAAAATAAAAAATAAAAAGAGAGGTGGCAAATTTCAAATTCTTACTGGATGAAAGTTCACCATTGGGGTTTGAGTAACTTCACAATTTTGGTGGAAAAGGTAGAGAAAATAAATCAACTGAAGGCTTTTCTTCTATGTCCAGCCACTTTCCGTCCTAATAATAACAGCTGCCTGCTGAAGAATTAATTGCCCTTGACATTTGTTCAGCACAAAGCTTCTTATGTAGCCATTACAGGACTATGCCATGTAAGCAGGGAAGGGACCAGATGCAGACAGATGACTTCCTCTTCCTCACTAGCACAACTCAAAATTTACTTCTCTTACTTGGCTCCTGAGAGGACTTTATTTGAATCACTTTTCCCCTTCAAGGAATAGCAGGCTGCACTGGAGGGTTTGGTTTTTTTTTTTACTTCTTTTAAACTAGATTAGACGTTGAAACCAAACTGGTATCAGGACGCTTCATTACTGTTGCACCAAGACAAAAGAAGAATCAGGCCTAGGATCTTTGTTTTTATCACCAAAGTGAACGTTCAGGTGAGCACCCACAGCATCCCACAAAACAGCAAAGACCCCCACTCGAGTGAGCAGACTTTGCCACACTGGTAGTCCTCACCTGTCCTCATCTGTCCTCACATCTTTTACACAAAGCAAGTAGCAGCAGACAGGATCCATGGGGACACGGGAGGTGCATTGCATCTCGCTGCTGGCGTAACTAAGGATTACCTGTCGGCTCCTGAAAATAAATTCTTCTGCCACGTTCTAGATGCTCAAACGTTATTAGTCATCAAGTTATGACAAATTGAAACTGGGAGGGCACGATCTCGTTTAGCAGAGAGCTGAGAGCTAGAATGCCTCCGTCTATTCATAGCTGTGCCACTAATTCAGCAGCTGACCTTGGACGAGTCACTTCACCACTCAGACCTTGGATTCCTCATCTACAAACAAGGGATGATAATGTCATTTCCTGGGGGAGAGGAGGAAGGCTGTAGAAGGCTTATTTCAGTGTTGGTAAAATACTCTGAGATTTCTGGATAAGAGCACAACTGAAGTGAAAAACATCAAGATGATAGTGGGAGATTATTTTCAATCTATACAAGATTTATGGAGCTTTCATACTTTTTTCTCGCTCCATATTCTCTGTTTTCATACGCTGCCAGAAGCGCTAAGTGGAATACACAGGCAAACAACAGCTCTAGGCACGCACAGTCACAAACAACTGCACCACATCAACATTTTTAGAAAAGCTGATGCATCTCTAAAGGGGAAAACCAGGAAGGACAGACATCAAGTTCTAAAAACTCGATAATGCTGGTGTTCCGGGAGCATTAGCACTGCTGATAGAAAAACAATGCTACAGGCACATTACTGCCCCTGACCAAAATACACAATCAAGGGCCACCAGTGCTGAAAATATTTAACAGTGTCATGGTCTGCTGTAAGTGATGAGGCATCACTAACCCAAACAAAGCAGGAAAAATGGACCAAAACGTAGTGGCGCCTTTCAAAGTCCAAAATGGTCGGTAAATCACAAACCATACGATGTTCCTATTACCTGGGGAATCCCCTGACTCTAAAGAACACCAATTGTTTTAGTTAGAATGAAACATGATTTAAATAGAAATGCTATTCAATCTGTTTGAAACACAAAACAAATCCTCAGGCAAACAGTATAAAGCATCGTATATAGTTTCACACGGTAATCCAAGACCAAGACCATGACCTGAAAAGAACCAAGTCCAGCACATTCCCAATAAGGCCTGTAATATACTGTGTTAGTCAGAGACTTTGTAGGGATGACAAGCTAACTGCACCCCCTCCAAAAGGCATTACACTAGGGATGCGGTTTGGTAAACACTCCTGTGTTAATGTGGCCTGTTGCAAGTTCTTGTTAGAAAGCAAGTTTTGCAAGATTCAATTTAAGAAAAGCCTCATTTGTCCCCAGCCTGTATTTACAAAACACTCCTAAGTCTCATGAGACTTCTTCCAGATGGAGCTTCTGATAAAGCCTGGAAGATCTTTGAAGAAGCCTTTAAAGTCTTCATTATTGAAAGTTCCCAAGCTGCGAACTGCAGCAGTAATGAGCAGAGAAATTCTTCGGG